CACTTGCTAACCTCCAGGTTCAAATCTTACAGCAATACTTTAAATACCAGGGCAGAATGTACTTCTTTATATGTCTTTCTTTATAGCCTCAAAACTAAAGAAGATACTTGGATATAATGTGGAAACACATGACAAAGCAATTTTCTGGGTAGAAATACTTTATTTTGATTGTAGTGTAATGATATTATGGAATTTCCATGGATTTGAAGATATAATTATAGTGCTGTGTTGTATACTTTATGCATTATAATATTGCTTCATTAAGTCAAGTTATAATAACTCTTAGCATTTTCTGTAAACAAAGGGAATATTTTCATTGAGGTTGCTCCTGTTGAGGATACTTGTCCTCAGATTTTTTTTTTTTTTTTTTTTTTTGCACTATGCGGGCCTCTCACTGTTGTGGCCTCTCCCGCTGCGGAGCACAGGCTCCGGACGCGCAGGCCCAGCGGCCATGGCTCACAGGCCCAGCTGCTCCGCGGCATGTGGGATCTTCCCGGACCGGGGCACGAACCCGTATCCCCTGCATCGGCAGGCGGACTCTCAACCACTGCGCCACCAGGGAAGCCCCTTGTCCTCAGATTTTATACTGTTGGTCCGCCTAGTAAAGTAGCGGTGTTAGTGTAAAAGTGATCAGCAACCTTTATGCTCCTAAAATTAATTTCTCCCCAATGAGGCTCAAAGAACTCAGTTTTATGGGAACTGATTACTCCTTCATTCATTCATTTATCTCTCTTTCTTTCTTTTTTTTTTTAAGAAGGAAAGAGTAGATGAGAAAAAGATGGAAAACAAGAGGACATAGGAATACTATGTCCTAGGGGGATAAGTAGCAATAAAAAAGTGAAGAGATCAGGAAAAACTAAAGATGAAGTGGGAGTTTGGTCTGGGATTGAGAGTATGGGGAACATAAATGTAGTTGGTAATAGAAAGAACTTCAGATCATGTAATAGAAAGAACCTGGCATACATACAGCAGTGTGGCTTAGTGAAAAATAAGGATGCAGTAGTACAAAATGGAAAGCTCACAGCCAGACAGGACTGGGCTCAATCTCATCTCCACCTCCAATTAGCCACATGCCTTTGGGTGATATGGCTTTTGGACTATTTCCTCATCAGTAAATTTGGGATATCTGCCCACTAAAGATGACTACAGGGTGAGGGCATCTGGCATGATGATACCTGGTAATGAATGGGAGGGATTAAAAAAATTACCTGCATAATTATTATAAGTAATCCATAGATTGAGGGAGATTACATGATGGGGGATGAGCAAGGAACGTACCATCCAGGTGAATTCTGGGCAGAGTGAAGAAATAGACCAGTTTGGCCCTTAGCAGTCTTTTTGTGTTTCACATTTCACAATACACTGCTCAGTGAATTATTCTGTTTGCCTAGAGCTCTGTGAGCTCTCCTTTCTGAAAGTCTCCTTTGCATTATTGCACCTCCTCCTTTTTTCCTTAGAAATTGTTTTCTGGAATTGATTTGTAGAACCCCGGAATCAAAGATCAGTTAAACTCATTTATTTTAAAGAAGTAGAAACTAAAAAGAGAAAGCCAAAGTGGGTATTTTTAAAAAATTAATTAATTAATTTGGTTGTGTGGGGTCTTAGTTGTGGCAGGCGGGCTCCTTAGTTGCAGCTCGCGGGCTCCTTAGCTGCGCCAAAGTGGGCATTACTGAACTCAGGTTGGACTGCTCGCCACTTGAAAGTCAATACTTGAGAAACAAGTGCTGGTAGGAATGGAAAGTTTGCTTTATTCAGGAGGCCTGCAACCTGGGGAGAAGGTGGACTTGTGTTCTAGAACCAACTCAGAAGATTCTGCTCGGCCATGAAAGTTTTTAAAGGGAAAAAGGGGGAGTAAACTCATTTAATCACTGAGGTAGGGGGTCAGATTCATCACCATCTCCCATTGCATGCAGACTTATGGACTCCTTGTGATCTTTCTTTAAATGCTGTCTTGTTCACACAGTTGGCTTGAGGGATTACAGAAGGGGAAGCTGGGGGAAAGATCGAGTCATCTGTTAATTACTTAGTCTTCATTTCTATTTCTTTGATCTAAGGAAAGAATCAACAGGTTAGGCAAGGCATCGTGCTTGGGCAGGAGGTGAGTAGAGCATGGGGGTGCCTAGTTTAAAGGTTAGTTACAATATAGCTTTGCTAAAGTGACAAGACAAAAGGGGCCTCCTGCAGAGAGCTGCTTCCTGCAAAGGGCTCTTCCCTGAAAAGAGCAAAGCATACCCATCCTTAGTAACAGAAACTTGAAGAATCCCTTGAAAAAGCAGGTGAAGTGTTTTGCGATCCCAAATTACTTGGTAGCTGGAGATTAATAACCTGAGTTCTTCAGATCTATCATGGTTGGGCTTCATGAGTAGAAGGGGGGAGGTTCCCCAGATCCTGATATTTTATACAAAATTTTGTGTGTATACACATCTTTCTGGTGGAGAAGGTCTATATCTTTCATCAGATTCCCAAAGGAGCATTTAATATCTCAAGTTTTAAGAACTATGGTTTAATTCTCTAGACTATAGAAGGATGGCAGTGCTCTAAGGAATGTGTTCTAGTGTCTTGCTCCTCCAGGTGTGGTCCTAAGAGAGCATCAACAACCACAACTGGATCGTTAGCAATGCAGCACCTTAGGTTTTCTGAATGAGTATCTGCGTTTTAACACCGATCTCTAGGTGACAGTTGTGCATATTAAAATATGAGAAGCCCTGTTGCAGGCGTCAGGAGATCAGATTTGACTTTGTACTCTGGCTCTGCCAAACGCTAATGTCCAATACCGACTGGATTTTTAATCTTGCACATTATATGACATTAAATTACCAAACTCAGAATCAGAATGCTTGGGCTCTAGTTCTGAGTTGGACAGCAGTCAGTTGCTGACTTTGGCCAAATCTCTGAACCTGCACGGGTCTCTATTTCTTAGCCTGTAAAATAAAGGAGTAGATTCGTCTTCTTTGAGCTCTGAATTTACCTTTTGTTTCCCACACATGTGTTTTGTCACCACTTATCTCTTGAAATGCTCTCTTTTTGTCAGGGCCCACCAAATGTCTTCCAAACCCTGAAGCCCACACTGGTTTCTTTCATCTTTGAACTTCTATTATAATTTCTGTACTACTCAATTTATCCCTTTATTGTGTACTAAAGTTTTCTGTAATTGTTTGATTTACATATCTTGTTTTCCAAGCTTGGGACCATCCAAGCTATGTCTGTTTCTTCTCTTATTAAAGGTATCATAGCACAGGGCATGCAGTAGACGTCTAATAAATCTGAAGATTGGATGCTGTGTTTTGAGAGAAGACATCTATATGTGACACATGAAGAGCCCCAATCTCCTTAGTTTTAAATTGGTCATGTTAAAACATACAAGTCCCAGCTGCTTTTAGAAGCAATCATCTTAACAGAATAAGCTCAAAGGAAAGAATGTATTGAGCTATACTTCTGCCTCTCAGAATTTCCTTGTCTTTAGTAATTCGGAAATGTATGTATTCATATATATGTGTGTATATATATGCATATGCATATACACACATCTATATAAAGCAAATTAAATTCTTTCACCAAAATAGTAAGACTATTTCCAAGTTAGTTACTAATAAGTTAGCCTGCCATTTCCAGCACAGCTAACAATACAAATACTGTGGTTCTCACTTGGAGAAAGAAGTTTTAAAATAATCTTAAAATGACAGAGGACAGAAGACTCCTGTGTTAGAGCAAAAAGACTTCGTTACTCCCAGCACAGCAAGCCCCACGAGTATCCGCATATTTGTGTCAGTTCCCCTTGACACCCAAGTCCCACAGAGGCAAAGCAGACAGTTGCAGATGAATGCCTGCGCGCGCAGTGGGTCATGTTACAGGAGAGGAACCCTGAGTTTAGAGAACCTGAATCTTCTACAGTGGGCAGGCGCGTGCTATCTTTTGCTCCAGGGTTGTTCTTAGTAGTAAGTTTGTCTATCATTTGCTGCAAAGGGAGAAGCGATCTTACATTCTAAGGCTGTTTTCTATGTAAACATCTTTAACAAGATAGTGTGGAACGAACTGCTGTCAGGGATTAGTTCCATAAGAAGTGCAGGGATGCTAGCGATCCATTGAGAATTGTATTCCAAGAGTGTTATTCTTGCTTCTGTATAATAAACAGATCAGAAACATTTTCAACAGCTGTCCTATTAAAGCAACTTTTCTTAAGCTGTACAAAGTTCCAACATCCCTCTTTATGTGAGGCTGAAATTTGGGGTTGAGGTCAAATCAGAAATCTTTTACCTTGGGGCACAAATCATTGTCTTACTAAAATGCAAAAGAGAACTGCCCTCTAACCGTGGAGGGCTTAGTGGTTTGAAGTTGGTGACAGAGTAGCTATGTCTTTTGGAGCCCGAGAGTCTGATAGGAATGCACAGGTCGTTCTGACGAAAGGCAGCAGGATCACTTTTGTTGCTTGGGAAGTGGGATTTTGCTGCCCGTTTAGTACTAGATAATCAGGGACAGGGGAACAGCCAATCAGCCTGGGCTTCTAGCTGTGTTTGTGACTCTAGGCAGAGCATTGAGTCCAGGACACCGCACTTTCAAACATTCTAGACCAGTCAAAACATAAACAAAACAATGGGTTGGGCGTGAGCCGGACCTTGAGAGCAGCAGATAGCTGCTGAGTTCCTGTTTGCCTGCTTTCGGCCCAGGAGGAAGAACCCAGTGTTTTGGCCAGATGCTTATATCTCGAGAATCCCACATGATTCTTGTGATTAATATTGTTTCCTGTCATGTGTTCTAATTAAAAAAATGTTTAAGCTATCGTTGGGGGGGAGGAAAAGTCTGGATGCAGACTTTGATGTAGCTTTTCACTGTGGATTCTTTGGTGAGAGAAGGGTTTAAGTGAGGTGTTTTCTAAGTGTCAGGTGGCATCATCATAATCTGAATTTAAGTTTTAATTTTATCTTTTAAAACAATTCTATTTTGCCTGTATCTTTTGAGAAATCGACTAAAGGTTGTTTTCTTTTCTTTTCTTTTTTAATCAGTTACTTACAATGCGTCCTTAGATGCTATTATTTCCGGTACAACCAGCAATACAAACACTGGGGTGCTGGCACGGAGAGAGAAATCAAAAAAGCGTCTTAAAATGACGTCCTTCAACATTGCCCAGGGCATTCGTGCTTTTGATTACCACTCTCGTCTCAAGTTAATTGGTATGTAAAATAAATCATGATAACTATGAGGGACTCATCAATAGTCTGGGATGCATATCCGCACGCATGGAGCCTCTTCACCATGTTGCTTTATCGCCAGAGAGACCAACTTGAGCAGCTCACATTTTATTACGTCTGACAATGATGAATTATGATGTGCAGCGTATAGGAACTACATTGGGGTGACAAGATGAGAAAGTTCCCCAGTGCTTTAATGAGTCTTCTTATCAGAATTGGTGGGGAATGTAAAATGACATAGAGAAAGAATGCAGTGTCTGCCTTCTGCCATCTTCCTAACATCACCAAATGCTCAACCTATACATCATTTTCTTATGTGCGTGCGCACACACACGCACACACACTCACTTACTAGAGAAATGCAAAATGGAGAATGTTTTTCACCTTTCAGAATACAACTTCTAATGGTTTTTGAAAATTTTCAGATTTGTCCTTTAGCATACTAAAGGAGAGTTCTTTTTCTGATGTAAATTTTAGCTGAAGAAATAAGCGATAAAGGTTTTCAGGCATTATCTATTTAAATAAAATATTTAGGTATTTTGAAAGCTGATAATTTGATATATATGATATTAGTTCAAATATTATAAAAAAGTGAGGTATTATTTTAAAAATTAATAGGGTAGTACAGAGAATGAACATACATGGCCTACAGAATGGGTCATATTAACCCTCTTTCAAAAATTATCATTTATGTAGAGTATTGATATCAGCTAAGCAGAGTCTCTAAAATTTCCAACAGTCACAGCTGACAATCACGGTAAAAAGAGACCTTGACTTTGAACTCAGGAATATGCCAACATCAGACTTTCAAGGAGGATTGTAGATTTATTAGAGAAAGCTGGAGGAGTTAGTGAATTGAGTTTGGGAGGACTCAAATATCAACCATTGCATTGATTCATGGATTATTTCAGCCCCTTTATACTGATCGCTACCTTGTACCTGGCACAGTGCTGGTATTACATATTACGGTATGCAGTAACACTCAGGGTAAAATTTATCAGTTGTCTTACTAATTTCATACTATGGGATAAAGACTTGAAACAAGAGTGGATTCACTTCCTCTTATTGCTATAACCCTTACACTGGGTATTAATCCAAATAGGGGTCTGCCATTTATGGTGATTCCATAAATGTGAATAAGTTCAGCTCCACAGTTGGCCCTAAACAAGGGAACGACAAAGAGGGCTCTGCTGAGTTTCCCCAGACCTGAAGAAGCACTGTGCTCCCAGTTTTTGATGTGCTCCCTGAATATAATCAATTTGTGTTAAAACAAAACAAAACAAAACAAAACTATTGCCTCAATAGAGCAGGTCAAACATATATTTCGGCTGCTTATTTGCTTGCAAATACTTGATTATTTACATGACAGTGAAAATAATTGGTTTCCTTACACTTTTTCATTAATTTGGGAACTTTAAATATTGTTTTAGTTCTCTCTTACCCCTGGGATAATTTTAACGTGGTCTGCACTCCTAGGCTGTGATGGCTGTAGAGGGGGAACTTTGGGACTGGGAGAAGGATTTTCTGCCCTCCGGGTTGGGCTACTGCTTGCCTCTTAATGGAACTGTCTTGTCCTTTCACCCCATGCAGACTCCTTCTCCCCTCCACCCTGCATTTCAGCTATTTCCAGTGATAGCATTCATGCATTAGCCTGGGCTATTGGACAATGATAAGATTTTCCTTCCTTCAAGACAAGGGTGCATTAGTGCTCAGAAGGCTTTTTATCTACGTACGGTGATATAGGATGTGATATACTTGTTTCAAAAAAAAGTAGAGTATTCAAGTTATTAAAAACATTTTTTTTCTTTCTAATTCCGATTAGCAACTGCTGGCTTTAACAATGAAGTTTGCCTTTGGAACTCCTATGTTGTCTCTAAGCTGGTTGGTGTCCTTTGGGGTCACTCAGCCAGTGTAATAGCTGTCCATTTCTTTGCTGCAAGAAAACTTTTCATCTTCTCCAAAAATAAAGTTAGTAACAGTGTGCATTTAATTTATTTAGTTCTGCCTCCCCAGTTCCTATCCAAATCTATCTTTGGTCTGAAATTCCTCTTAGAGCTGGTATAGATTTTTATAATATAGTGACTTACTACTATGTTTTTGGAAATCTGTATTTTAAAAATGATACTGATGGTAATTTAGGAATAGTCCTGGGCAACTGGACAAGGTGTTTCATTAAAAAAAAATTGTTTTAAACCATGTACTCATAGATGTAATCCTTATTTTTGGGTTCTCAATAGGCCACATCTTGAGAGTTTCCAAAGTACTCACTAATCCAATAAAAATACAAAACAGAAATGGGAATGAGAAAATGTTGCTTTGAGAAGATATAGAATTCTTGTTAATTGGCACAGCCAATTAACTATTATTGCTTTTCCACTGAAGAGACTCAGTAAATTAGAAATCAAAGTTAATCTGAAGAATATCAAGTACATTAATAACATTTCAGTTAAATATATTAGCCCATTCTATTTGACAATATTGGTGCAAATTCTAAATATGGTGGAAAAAACATTGTACCAAAACCAGGTAGTCCCGGTTGTATCCTGATCACATTATTCACTACTCGTATCTCCCAGAAAAATTTCTTTATCTCTAATAATCTCATCATGTGTTCCTCTGTAAAGCTTCTGTTTTACATAATGCCTGATATAGATCCAGTTAACATGTGATAGATTTCAAGAACAGAAATCTATGAAGAGAAGAAGGATGGGCAATAGGCTTATTGGGAACAGCCTCTGAGACTTTTTCAGTGACTCTGACTTTTAATTCTATTCTAAAGTGATACTTGTATATGTGAAAATTAAATAGAAAAAATAGAAATTCATCTTCAAATCCTTAGCCTCACCCTATGCATAAGTCCTGCCAAACTTGCTTATTTTACTGAATTACCTATCAGACCGTAAATCTCCTCCCTTCACCTGAAACTTCACCACTCAACTGCCAATGCTAGTTGATTCTACCATCAAATATATTTATCAGCCTCCCCTCTCCCTCTCAACTGCCATTGCTCTAATTCAAAATCTCATCCTCTTTTGAATTATTTTTCGAGTTAGCTCATCCAAAACATTGCAAGGTTGCCTAACATGTCTCCCTTCTCGCATATGGGTCTGATTCCAATCTGCCCTTCATCCTGTTAATTAAGTGGTGTCTAAGAAAAAATCTTCAATACCTCCTCTTACCCTCATTCTAAATATCAGCTCTAAAATTCTTAAGCTTTTATATAAAGCCCTCCGCCAGTCTACCAGGCCCACCTCACTTCTTGCTTTTCTCTTCCATTCATCTGATGCTCCGCATCACACTTTGCCTGTTTCCACCATGCTGCCTCATGGCTCTGCCACGTGCCCTTCTTTCTGCCTTCAGTTCCCTCTCCTCCATTCTCAACTGGCAAAAGCCTATTTATGCTTGAAGTTTCAGACTTTCTGGAGTCTTTCAGACAGACCTAGGTGTTTCTTTCTCTGCACTCCCATTGCACCTGTGTGTCCCTCCTTAGAACATGTGTTCTATTGTACTGAAATTGTAGTTAACTTTCCTAAGTAGGGTCAGTGTCTTTTCAGCTTGTACACTTGGTATCAGTCACAGTGCTTGGCACCTTGCAGTGTTTGTTCAGTGGTTTTTTTTTTTTTTTGGCTGCATTGGGTCTTCGTTGCTGCACGCGGGCTTTCTCTAGTCGCGGCAAGTGGGCTTCTCACTGCGGTGGCTTCTCTTGTTGCGGAGCACGGGCTCTAGGTTGACAGGCTCAGTAGTTGTGGCTCACAGGCTCTAGAGCACAGGCTCAGTAGTTGTGGCGCACAGGCTTAGTTGCTCTGTGGCATGTGGGATCTTCCCGGACCAGGGCTCGAACCCGTGTCCCCTGCATTGGCAGGCAGATTCTTAACCACTGCGCCATCAGGAAGCCCCAGTGATTATTTTTTGACAGTTTGAAGTGAATACATATTACTGTGAATCTTAAATACCAAAGAAAGTCAGAATGAAGACTTTTCTGATGCCTAAGCTTTTAGTTGTTCTGTTTTCTGAGATCTTTTAGCACTTTGTTCTAACTCCCATTATTGAATTTGTTTTTTAAAATATTTATTTATTTGTGGGGTTTTTTTGGCTGCCTCAGATCTTAGTTGCGTGTGCAGGATCTTTCCGTGTGGTGTGTGGGCTCTTTGTTGCTGTAGTTGTGGCCTGCGGGCTTAGTTGCCCCACGGCATGTGGGAATCTTATTTCCCTGACCAGGGGTCGAACCGGCATCCCCTGCACTGCAAGACGGATTCTTAACCACTGGACCACCAGGGAAGTCCCCCATTATTGAATTTAACACAGCCTGACATGTATACTTGAAGGCTGTATATGTATACTCTATCTTTCACTGTATTTTGAGTGCTTAAAGACAAAGATTATTTGTTGAATTCATTTTTGTGTTTCCCAGTATCTAGCACATATTAATATACATTAAATACATGTTGAATAAAGCATATAAAATAGTGTAACTATCAACTAACCGACAGGATTCACGAGGTTTGGAACTCTCTTTTTGGGTTGTGCCATATACATAGTAGGTCCTCAATAAATCTTGGTTAAATGAACAAATCTTTTTTTTTTTTTTTAATGAACAAATCTTTATCAAAGCTAAATATGAAAGAAATAACAGATATTTTATCATTATAGAATTCCCTGAAAGGTGTTATAACTTTAAAAGCAAGTGAAAAAAATGTTCTTAGAGTCAGAATTGATTGTGTATGGCCTCTTTCAAGTCAGTTTTATCATCCTATTTTTGCTTTGACTTTTAAACCATTACATTGTAAGGAAGCTTGTCATGCCGTCTTTCACATTAGTCTAAATCCATTTCACTTCGATAAATGCATAATAATCTTAGCCTGTATGTCTTCACGACAAACAACAGAGCTTTCAGCTACCAGGTTAAGCCTTTGTTTTATTGCATAAAATTCTTTTGGATATTTTATAGGACTAGGGTTAATTTAGGGAACAGGGAAAATGAGAGAAAGCATTCTTTTTTCAAAGGGCCTTTGATTGAACCATATTTTGGTCTATGAATTGCTAAATTAGAGGATTTTCAGACCAAAGTAATTTAGATCCAAATAATTTCCTGAGACTTACTTCAGTTCTTTTTTGGAAAACTTCTCTATTGTGCTTTCCAGTGATTATTAAACAATAAGTTTATCCCTATAGCATTTGGTATAAGTAATAGTCCAATTGCATTTTGCTTTGGACTCCTAAATTGTCTCCTAAGATGGCAATCACTGATGGCAAGGCCCTGCTGGGAGCCAGTAACTTGGTCATTTAGAGGAGGAATCACCATGGGAGTAAAAGGATTTTCAAAGCCTCTGGGAAATATCTCAACCAGTGAATCTGATTAGGCTTTTCTATCGCTCCTAACTCTTCTCTCCTGGGCTACTTATCCTGATTTGGCCACCAGAATCAGATCAGTTTGTAACTTAATCTTTTGTTTGAGGTTTTGATTTTTCTCAGAGTCTGGTTTCTGTATTGTGCACCCAAGGTTGGGAAGGAAAATTCAAAGACTCTTGTGCTGGTGACTAGCTCTTACCTGTGTGTCTTCATTCCCCTTCTGCGTACCCTCTCTCCTCAACTTTCCTCTATCCATCCAGAGACAAAGCCACTTTCATTTTGTTTAAATTATGCCAAGTAAACAGATGAATGCTCTTCTGTAAAAATTACAAATGAGAAAGCATGTAGTACAAGAAGTGAATATCCCTTTTCTTCACTCCCCCTTCAAATCAATCCCTCTTCCAAGAAATATCTATTATTAACACGATGTATATTGTCTTATATTTATATCACATACTTACATACTGTAACATATTGTGTTATAATAATATGTGGTGTTATAATTTATTATTATATACTGTATACCATCCTATGTGTGTATACAAATACAAGGTAGTATTTATTATTAATTTTTATGTAAGTGGCATCACGTGAGACATACTTTCTTGCAACTTGCTTTTCCCTAAACAATATCTCCTGGAGATCTTTCAATGTGAGTATACATAGACCTGAATTTTTACCTGCTACATAGTAATTCATAGTATGGATGGTCATAATTTAATTATTCAATCACCTGTTGATTATAATAGATATTATCTCTAACCAACTGTCACACATACACACACACATTTACACACACATGCACACACACATCTTTAAGACCACATAACTAATTTCTTGTGATATGTTCTTTGAGATACATTTCTAGAAGTGATGCTATTGGGTCAACAGGGATTCAATTCTTAAAGGATGGTTTAGATGCAGGAATATTGTTCCAATTGGTATACACGTCAGAGGTGTGTAAAGGTGTTTCTTTCCCCACATTCTTGTCAATGATAGATACCATTAATGTGTTCATTCTTTTGTGAATCTAATGGACAAAAAATTAGGATGAATTTCTTCAATTATTTATTAGCCATTTATTTATATTTCTTGTTTTTTGCGCATTATCTGATCAAGCCCTTTATCCTATCAACTGGACTCGGGAATACTATCAATAGCAGTAGTTTGAAAAATATATTGATTATCCTTTATTATATATGATGCAAATATTTTGTCTCTTTCAAGCATACATCTTTTAACTGTGTTTATGTGATTTTTTTTTTTTTTTTTTTTTTTTTTTTTGCGATACGCGGGCCTCTCACTGTTGTGGCCTCTCCCGTTGCAGAGCACAGGCTCCGGACGCTCAGGCTCAGAGGCCATGGCTCACGGGCATAGCCGCTCCGTGGCATGTGGGATCGTCCCGGACCGGGGCACGAACCCGTATCCCCTGAATCGGCAGGCGGACTCTCAACCACTGCGCCACCACGGAAGCCCTGTTTATGTGATTTTTATCATTCAAAAGTTTTAAATTTTTATGAAGTTGAGTCTAAGAAATGATTTTCTTTGTGGCTCTGGTTTTGTATCTAGCTTAGGAACATGTTCCACAATTCATATTTATAGAGGTGTTCTCCTTTAGT